ATAGTTGAGATCGAAATGTATTGGTTTACGTCAAAGCAAAGAAAACGAAAAGACTACTTTCCATCGTTGATCTATTACTATGCAAGCCCTGATGCCATCGAAAAACGTAGAGAAAGAAGCTTGAAAGAGAAAGAACGAGAGGAGAAGAGACGAGGAAACGAGAAAATGGAGAGAGGGAAAATGGAAAGAAAAGAGCGAGAAGAGTTGGAAAGATTAAAAGGAATATATAAGAAAAAGGATGCCTATAGTAAAAAAGTTCGCGAAATAATGCAAAATTTTTTGAAATCGTTGTCAGCTAGTCTAGATAAGGAAACGGAAAGATCCACTATTGAAAAAGTAGCGGAAGAAATATTTGCTGTTTTTTTAGATATAGACACGGTATCTTTAGATCAGAAGGTCATAATTAAGGGCTGATGTTTTCAACAATTTTATCCGTTGGCTACAGTGTAACGTATTTATCGGTTATTCTTCGTTTTATTGAGTCGCAATGTACATATTACATATTACAGAGTTTTTTATTTAATACTAATACTGTAAATTATTAGAATAGATTTTTTGGGGCTTTACTCCAATGTAATATAAATTATTTGGAGATGAAATGGTTGTTTTCTATCTGATAAATTCTTATAATGTATAATTACAGATAGAGTATTGTTGTATGGTTCGGAATGGACATATATCAGATGGGAATTTATGTCCTTCCAAATGGACCATTATGAAAGTATTTTATTGGCATTACAATCTTAACCAACCGGGTTTGTTATAAAAAAATATGTTATTTTAAACGTTTGTAAATTTTAGCATAAAGAGTGAATAAAGTAACTTGTGGTATTACTGTTTGTATTACGCCTTTATCTTATATTGTTATAAACACTTGAATCTTACCTCACTATCACGCAATAATACGTAACAATGTATTTAATTAACATTAGTGCACTGTCGATTATAAGGGTGGCAGTTTAAGTTACAAATGACTGCAGCTTTGCGACAAGCGCATCAAGCTGTCGAGCAACTACATCTAATCTTGGTTAAACTGAAGTAGCTTTATGCAATGTTACACTTCTATTAAGTATGTATTTGTTAGATAATGGTGGCTATGCATGTGGTTGCATAAATAAAGAGCCCATGTGGAAACGAGATCATGGATGCTCCCGTATTGATTGGGCTACGTTATAATCTGAAACTTCGTAAAAACCTCTTCGAATAGTTCGATTGAGATGTCTTAATTTCACTAATATTACATTCCCCCGTTCAAACAGCATAATGAACATGTTTACACGTACAGTACACCACAGCCATGTAACAAAATGGTTTCGATTGTTGGATGAGAGCAATGCTAATTTAACAAATGTACAGAATTGTGGTTTGCTTTCATGCTAATATACTAAATAAGGTCATTAGTAAAAAATTTAAGCGGTCGCGGGGAGAGTAATCGACCAACTGTATATATTGCATTAGGAGGCTTTCATGTCGATATAATTGAGGTAAGGCATATGCATTTTGAACGCAAAAGATATTCGGCTTTCGAAAGTTCAGTATCCGTTTGTCGATGTAAGGGCTGTTCGAATAATGAATGATTTACTTGCTTTATAGATGATTGAAACACATGGTTTATAACATACAGACTATTGCAAGTACAGGTATACGTAATACAATTAATTGACAGTACTAGTGTCCACATAACAAACTAATGGTTTAACATGGCAATAGAACAGGATGGACAAACTATACCAATCTGACATATACGTTAGTTCGGAATGGACATAAAGTTTCATATGACATATGTCCATCCGGAACAGACATAAATTCCGCAACTGAAATCCCGATGTGCCGCAAACCGGAGATGTTTGTACACAAGACTCACGGAGAATTACGTCACCGTTTGAGACATTATACATTTTTACATTAAATTATACATCGCATTTTTTATTCTCCGTATTCTTTGTCGCACAATTCCCAACTCAAAAATAAAAATAGACATAATCATCATGTTTGACTGCAGATATTAATATGTTTGTTAGATGCTGATCGACTATCAGCATCTTTACCACGGCAAGACTACAAGGACCGTACCAGCGAATAGCCATCGACTTGTATGTTCTTCCAAAGAATTTCCATGCTCCCATGATTCTTTTTTGTTCTCTTTATTACGACTTGTTGCAGTAATACAAGCCTTTATCATTTCTACGCCTCATAACTTTTTCTCTTTTTTGTCATAGTTGGTTAGTGGTAATACCAACCTCATACAGCTATCGCTTAGTAAAAGCTGTCTTTTTCTCGCTTCAAAAATTCTGCCGTTGGGCTCCTCGGGTTTGATGTATTTGTTAACATCGTTTATTATTAGGTAGGCCACATCAAAGAAATTTGAGAGTAAAGAGAAAAGAAAGTTTGTGCGAAGAAATGAGACATCTGCAGGCGGTGCAAGCGATAAGAACTCCAGTGGCATGACACAATTAGCGATAAGAAAGTTGTACACAAGAAAGATAAGAAACCATGTGCTGAGTGAGGAGGATTAACAAATTTGTTAGAACAATCGAGTGGAAGCGGGTAACCGGTTATCTAGTTACCCGTTACGTAATTTAGTCATTATCTTATATCTCGAAAAGGAAAATTAAACCGGAATAAATAGGTTGCTATGACATAATTATGATAATTTATCAAGATAATCGACGACAAAGCAAAAATTTTAAGATTATGATGATCATAAGCATTTTGAGCCCTTTGCCCCACATGATATGATATGATTATCTAAAATTGCGCAAACATTAGCAATTTGTTTGTTATACATATACAACACTAAATTAGGAAAAAACGCCAAAGGTATATACCAGGTAGTTCTGAATAGAAGTTAATAGCGCAAAATCACATTATAGCCCAATCATGACTGAAAACATAACTACGGAAGTAGGTTATCGGATGTCAGTTAAGGGGTCATGTGTTGTACACAGTAGAATAACGTAACATGAACCTATTATACAGTTGTTTTGTTTTTCTACTTGAAGATTAGTGTCACTGCACTGTCAACTTGTCCAAGTCAGATATTACGTCATTATTGTACATTTAAATAGAGGCACCCCTCTTATTCAGGCAACCGCGACTATTAATCATATTCTACCATGAGCAAAGAATCCAATTGCTCTCCAGCAGACAGCTATGTAATTAAGATGGACGAAAAACCCATTAATGATCCAAGTATCAGACAAAAACCGCCTAAAAAGATAGATGCTTGTACATTTTCCCCAGACGGGAAGCATCTGGCTACGTACTCGGCATTAGAAGGAATAATCACAGTATACAAGGCGGATAAATTAATGAATAGAAAGTGGCAAAGAGATGAAATCGCGTTAAAGCCAAGAGGATATTTAGAAGAAAGGATAAGTTTTAATCCGTCTTCTACTGCTACACAAATGATGACAAACGTTGACTTTGCGTTATCTAATGGAGGTAACTATAGTTGTTTATGAACAAGAAAACTAAAGCAATATCAATTAACTAAACCCACGTGTATCAATCGCCTATAGGCAAATTTGTTGCTTTAAGTATCATCAAGCTGCCTCAAGAAAGTGAAGATCCAGAGCCATTTAGACTTGAAAATCCAGTGTCCGGAATTCCGCATAAATTTTATACATTTATGGTTAACACTGTTGACAATCGCATTGTCACGGGGATAGAAAGCAATGATTGCGTTATAGACATCGACAACAATTGTCCACACTTTATGGATCTGAAAGGAGCCATTAGATTCTCGACTGATAGTGCCAACTTTCTTTCATGCAATGTAGTCGCTGATGCTGAAAGACACTATCTTTATGTCTACGCAACAAGCAATTGGCAAATGATTCGAAAAATTAACATTGTCACATATGTTAATGATCTACGAACTGCATCACATCCTTGGACGCAGATTGAATCCGTAAAGAGTTCACTATTCGGGGAGCTTTTCGTGAGCATCGAAAAAGTAAGTTGGCGTTAGAGTGTTGGTGTATTTATAGCTTGCACAAATGTATTTACTTCAATCACATTATTTCTAGTGGGACGTCCTATCATTCTGGTCTATGCCAGAATGCAAGCTGTTGGCCCGTTGTCGAAGCAGTCATTTTGTAGACGTCGATAAAAGGCAAACCATCTTTGCCCTCTCTCCTAACAGAAAAATGCTCGCAACCTGGACGCCAACTAAAAGGCTTGTTATCTTCTTATGTAAAGACGGTATCTTATTCTCGTCTTCGATGGCTCCCAGAGAACATTTAGGCGATCGCAGTGAATCAGTGAGGCAGTTGGTGTGGATTGGGAACAAACACGTAATGATTGTCGATGCAGTCGGCGGAACAAAGTGGAATATTAATACATATGACCTCATCAGTGAATACCATGATTTTGGAAAGATGCCCATTTTCAAATCTACAGGAGAAGACGTCTATGCTACATGTGATAGTGATAACAACGTTCCGGTGATCGAGGAGTTAACCGACCCAGACCTAACAGATTCATTCGATGAAAGTACAGAGCGGTTGGAAGGAACGACAAAACTGTGTAAATACGATGGCATAATGCTTTATGAAACTGGCATAAAATATGTTAATGGCGGGAATCAGGACAAACTGCAACACATTGTTGAATTTATAATAGAGCCATGGCACTTTCCGTACAATCGAACTACAACAATATTTCTGCTAGACGATGACGATAAGCGAGTACTTCTTTTCGGTAAACAAACAATACAGGTGTGGGACTTTGCATCTAGGGAACCAAGCCTGCAATACATTTGGTGCAAACCAATACCTGCAGTAAATTACAATATTGACAAACCTTCGCTAGGTAGAGATAAGGAAGGAGACTTTGTTCTCAAATTTCGATGTAATGTCAAAGGCTCTAGTGAAAAGCAGACGCTATCGCTACGTCCAACTGAATTCGAAACAACATTACATGCATTGTATGCCCGTAAATTTCTGGAATTCAAAGATCATATTGCACATCAAATAGGCCCGAGCCACGGATTACACCTTTCTAAGCTATTGAAACAATGCGAAGAGATTGTTTACAGAACCATCCGCACCAACGCTCAAATCTTTAACGCAAATGTAGACGATAGATCCATGGTGCATTTGCTGATTGATCTGGATAGCACGTTTGCAGATTCAATGTTAGAAGAATTATTACAAAAAAACGTTTATATTCCGCTGTTTTACGAAAACAAAAAGTCTGACAAAAACGAAGAGTCTGACGAGAACCAAGAGTCTGACGAAAACAAAGAGCCTGATGAAAACAAAAAGTCTGCTCTCTCGTGCGCTATATTAAAAGGAAAAGCAAAAGTGGTTGGTCTGCTATTAAAATACTACTGCCGCAGAACCAAAGACCAAGAGTCTGACAAGAACAAAAAACCTGACAAAAACAAAGAACCTGACAAGAACAAAGACTCTGCTCTCTTGTGCGCTATATTGAAAGGAAAAGCAAAAGTGGTTAGTCTGTTATTAAAGTACTACTGCCGCAGAACCGAAGACCCTGACGAAAACAAAGAGTCTGCTCTCTCGTGCGCTATATTAAAAGGAAAAACAAAGGTGGTTCGTCTGTTATTAAAGTATTACTGCCGCAGAACCGAAGAGAAGGCAAAAGGAAAGCCGGAATTTTGGATGCAGACTGTTGTTCCTGTTTTTAGAATGTTAATTTCAAAGTATCCGGACTACGTCTTGGAATTAATGAAATCTGTAAGCGACCTGCCCTTGGGCGAGCAAATTGTATGGAGCAACCAAAAAGATTTATATGCATTTATCTGTGAGACAGATAAAGTGCACGAGATGAGCGCGCCGAGGAAAACAGATGAAATCGATGAGGCAAATAAGGTAATTTGTAATCTGAATAAAAAAAGATCGTACTGCAAACAAACACATTGCTGTTTTTGGCAGCTTTATCTAACGATTTAATTTTTCTTATCGATAAAAAGATCGGTACCCATCCACGCCATGTGTGTGTGGTTCCGCTCCCAGGCTTTGCCGAATATCCAGATTTTTCTTTTTATGACCTTGTCTATAAAGGGCAAGAGTGCTGTTCCCGTTTTGCCGATGCAGTATTTCATGATCGTATTGACCTGTTTGGAGAACGTAGTATGGAGGCTATAATTAATTTCAAATGGAGACGGTTCGCTAGGAAATACGCTTATTTTTTAATTTTTGTATATATATTGTACCTTGTCTCATTCATGAGCATGGTTACGCTAGACTCTGATAGGATACATTTAGATGAAAAGGATAAAAACATTGCGATGAAAACATTTATATTTATAGTATTGGGGTTAGGTGCTGTGTTTTTGAGCTCGGAAATGAGACAGATAATACATAGACCATGTTATTATATCCGGAATATTTACAATTTAGTAGACTTGGTGAGTTTAATCATGTCTATGGCATATGCAATTAACTCACTCGTTGGAGGTGATTCATTTAAACCTTCATATATTGGAGCATCCATGTTTTTTGTCTATTTAAACTTTGTAAGTTTTTTATTTCGATATACCGTATATGCTTTTAGCATAGGAACATAATTCAATGATTAGAAATTCATTAACGCGCATGGTATTTACATTCTCTCCGATAGATTTTAAAGTTACGAATCTTCGAGAAGCTCGGAACAGCGATTTTCATTATAATTGAGATAATATCCAATGTATACCGTTTTGTCCTGGCGATGGCAATAATGGTATTCGCGTTTGCACACACCTACTGGTTATTATTATCTAATACAGAAGTTAAGAATGTATTAGATGATAATAATGCGGCGGCACAGGAATATTCAACTCTCCAACGAGGACTACTTTCCACCTATTTTTTCGTGGTAAGTAATATTTGTCATTATTATCAAGATAACTCTTGTAATTTTTGTTAATCAATTATGAATGTTTTTAGACCAATAATCTTGGTTCACTCAGCGATGCTTTCGGAGATTCGACTATTGCAATATTCACGGTTGCTTTTTCAGTGATCAGCGTGTATATGTGGACTGTTTTGGTTGCTTTGATGACCAACGTTGTCGATGATTCTAGGACCGTTGGTAGACATGCTTGGCTTAAACAAAGAGCAGAGGTAAGCAAGAAGATGTTTTATAGAATGGTTCGATCCAAACGGTTTAAGCAAATTAATAACATGTTAATTGGTCATCGATGATGCATCATACAGGTCATAGTTGAGATCGAAATGTATTGGTTTACGTCAAAGCAAAGAAAACGAAAAGACTACTTTCCATCGTTGATCTATTATTATGCAAGTCCCGACGCCATCGAAAAACATAGAAAAAGAAGCCTGAAAGTGAAAGAACAAGAGGAGAAGAGACGAGGAAACGAGAAAATGAAGAGAGGAAAGATAGAAAGAAAACAGCAAGAAGAGTCGGAAAGATTAAAAGGCATAGTAAGAGATCAATATAAAGAGAAAAAGGATGCTTACCGTATAAAAGTTTGCGAAATAATGCAAAACTTTTTAACATCTTTGTCAGCAAGTCTAGACAAAGAGACGGAAAATTCCACGGTTGAAAAAGTAGCGAAAGAAATATTATCACTGCGCAAAGATGAATTTTTAGATATAGAGAGTATGACTAGATACACACGGTATCTTTAGATGAAGTCATAATTAAGGGTTGATGTTTTCAATAATATTCCGTTGACTGGCGTCTGCTTCACCGCGCTACTTTTTTTTTATTTCTTCACATATAACGCACTTATCAGTTATACTTTGTTTTGTACATATTATAAAGGAACAATTCTATTATGAGTTTTTTATTTAATACATCATTGGGATAGATTTTTTGGGACTTTGCCTCGGTGTAAATAAATCGAATTATTTGGAGATGAAAACTGAGATTCGACGTGTTTTTCCAAACACGATTTACATGAATCAGCATGGACGAGGCTTTTACGATGGTTATTCCTATCTGATAAATTTTTATAGTATTCAAGTTGTATAGTTACAAATAGAGTAGTAGTGGGGGTATTGAGATATATTCTGAAGGAAGGTGATCGATAATTGCCTATCATAAGTAATGAAATAAATATTAAAAATATTCGTTACTTATTATTACATTGCAAACCATTAGCTACCACAAAGCATGTATACGATTTGACATCAAGCCGTTTATTAGTCATATCTCGGTCACACTTAACGTTACTATTTGCACAAATATCATGTTCATACAATAGATTGTTTATTAGAGAAATGGTACTCTGTCTTCAAGAGGTTTCTTCGAACTGAAATAGAAAAAAGTTAAAGTTTGTATTAATTCAATATGAATAATGCATGATTTTTTCTTACGATAATTGTAGACTATATTGTATAATCATGACGACAATAAAATTATGTGTCACATTCTACTGACAACACTAGCGGTCTAATTGTAAGGCGCGCATTTAAAAATAAGTTGCGGATATGCGCGTTAGACGTTGGTCTACCGTCTACAGCACTTTTCCCACGCGTCTTTCTGTTAAGCATACAACTACCCACTTTCTCATGAAACCGTACTATTGACTCTCTTTTTTCCTTATCAAAGAATTTTCACGCCACGCCAAGACAATTTTTTTGTTTCTATTATCACGGTTGGTTGTTGTAATACCAGCATTATGGCTATTATTTAATAAAACCGTACCATTTACTATTACTGTCTTTGCCACGATATATCTGTTATATAGTTTATTATTATGCTACAGTACATCAGAGAAAATTTATAGACAAAAGTGGCTCAATGACCAAATAATTCCTATCGAGAAAACCAAGTACGTTTTATTAAACCGTTGTCGCTTGAAGGTGACTTCTGCAATGTCATTTTCGTTCTCCGCATGTTTTAGTGTACTTGGTTGGGTTGAAATCGCAGCGAAACCGTGTAACTGCATAATAAATTCCAAACAAGATTTTTCATTTTATAAAAATACGCAATGAACTAAGCCCTGATCACACTGTACCTGATATACAAATTTGACACCAAATTTTAAAATATTGTATTACAATTCAAAATTCGCACACTACTCAATTTTATGTTGCCCTTCACGCAAAAATTTGTAACCAACTCACAATTACAATATCAGATGGGAATCTATTACTATGTCCATTCGGAACTGACATATATCAGACCGGAATTATAGCATGATGCATGAATATAGTTTTTGCATTCTACTTCAGTTATGCCTAATCACTTGGACATGTTGCTACTATGGTCTTTATCTAACTGTACAATTGGCGAGTGTTTAGTTACATATTATAAGCCACAATTTCAAATGTCATGGTAGCATCTATATCATTAAAGGGTGTTCTGTTAGAGTCATAGATTATCTACGCAATTTGTAATTAATTTGTGTAGTGACTGATGCTTTCAATTGCGTATTAATATGTCAATAACATAATACGATTGTATCAAGTTCTGTTACCCCGACACCTCCTAAATTTTGCATTACCATGTATATATTTTGTCAATCTCGTTTATGTGTAAATTTACATGTCACAAGTTCGGGGACGTTTTCGAATCAAGTGAATAATTTCTTTGTAGAATATCTGGTTACATGATCTCATTCCACAATGATCAAGCTTAACACACTATAATAATAACTATTGATTGTTTTCATTAAAGCGTATAAAATTAAGCATCGAACAGTTTGTAGTGTTAGAAATAATTTTATTATTTCTGCAATGTTGTAAGTATATGATAATTGCTAAGTCACTAACAATTCTAGGTCTTTTTTTTTTAACTGAATTCTCTACGCAATTTGTAGCTAATGTAAACCGATCCGTGTGCAATGTTTGTCATTCCAATACTTACAATGTTTGTACTACTTTAATGCTATTGGTCGATCGCACCGCCCACTTCTGCCACTTCCTAAATTTTGCGAATCGTCTTCCCAATATTCTTGGATACCACAGCCAATTATTGCAATAAAGTTCATGACTCGGATAGAAGTGGGCCTCATACATATGGGCATACTCGAAGGGGATATATTTGTCATGTTCGCGACCATTTTTCTAGATGTTCATGGCAGCTCTACTCAAAACCAAAAAAGCCAAGGAAGTTGCCCAAGTACTTTACAATTTGGTCCACCAACCGTATTAGTATTACATACAGATAATGGCACTGAATTTACCACCCAAATAATTCGTAATCTCATGAACAACTGGCCGGGAACAATCCGAGGGTATCCACAGTCGCAAGGACTCATTGAAAAAGGCAACGCCATATTAAAGCCAAGCCAAACTGAACAAATGGATCGTTCTCATTATGGTCGAATAGCAAGGGTTAATCCAGCAATTGAAAATTTGATTCAATTCTCTTCAGAAAGTACACCTTACGAGTTGGTTTTTGGACAAAGGCCGAGAGCGAACTTGCATTTACTCAACGACTTACCCACAGATAGATGCAGTCGTTGGTGAAACCACTTAAATCTGGAGTTTGAAGAGCTGACATATCCTACTAACTACCACTTGGATGTGGAGGAAGAAAATGAAGAAACTGAAAAAATAGGATTAAGGTGAATATAACTATACTATTATATTTGATAATAATAACAGTTGTATAACATTTGTATACCTTAAATCATAAGTCTCCTTCATGTCGAGTGGAAGTAGAGGAAGAAGCTTTTGAAGAAGAAGAAGATATGTCGTCTGTTATGGAAGGAGAGATGTCTTCTGAAGAATATTTTTGCCCTAGAAGGGATGAAAAGGTATTTTCAAATCGAACAATCAATTACCATCATCTCTGATTGTATATAACAATTTTCTCCATTTAATTATAGGCACGGCTTCAAAGTCAATTTAAGCCCAAGGAGAAATCGGATCTCGATACGTTCTTTGATCAACCTGCCCGTATGGATGTGTCACTTTGGCCAGACGTTCAAGAGCAGGTCACAGCATTACTGGAACAACAGGAATACGTTAATACATTTCCAGTTAATTACGTTCTCAAAATGATCAAAAGATCTTAGCAAATTTCAAAATGATGAAAGACAAGACGTAAGTATAATATATTATTTGCATTTAGAAATGTGTTTAACATTTAATAACCCCAATTTTTATGTAGGAAGAAAGTGACATCTAAGCCAAACCGAAAACAGAAGAGAGAAGCAACACCGTTTCAGGTAGCTTATAATTTTTTTGTATAGTTTAAGTAAATAGCGTAAGCGTACGATTCAGTGCTTATTCATTATTATTTTAATTAATTTGACAGCATTCGACAACAAAACACTATTCATATGATGGTGCAAAGCTGCATAACGTGAGTAAGAGAGAAAGATCCATCGAAACAAGCTGGGTACATACAAGCCGGTGTCTTTTCTGCAACAGATACAAATCATTTTTTAGCCGAACATTCCGTACGTGTTGCCGGTAAAGCTGTACAAGCACCTTACGATCTGGAAAGGTATTATTATTTTGTTATTAATATTATTACCATGGTTTGCGATAAATATTAACATGACTTTTCCAATAAGACGTTTGGTAGCGTTACGAGAGAAACAGTACAGATTGACTGGGAAGAAGTAAATTCTCGATGGGAGTCTTTGTTTGGCAGAAAGCCTCAATAACGCATTTAACAGAGTCTTCGTAACAACACCAGTATTCCACAAGAGCTTTAGATGTCTGGGAAAATAAGTTCAACCGTTGGCTTTCTAATATTAATGGGTGAGAAATATAGCATCATAGAAACGTAATCTCATGTAACATTAAAGGATGTACAAATAGCAGTAATATGTTAATGGCTCGATCGGGATTGGCTCAAACACACAACATCTTACAGAGAACAAATGAAAGAGACGATGCAGAAGCTTCAGAAACACCCAATAAAGAACAAAAAAGGCCTATCCTTTCTTCATATTTTGAATTAATTGAGCCGGATATTTGTATATAGAGCTCAATGACATACATACCTAACAGAAACGTAAAGCAACTGTAAAACTAAGTCTCAACTAATCGATGTGTTTGTCGCAAAGCTGCAGTTAATGTAGTTTGAATTGTCATTATCATAAGTTTTCAGTCTCCGTTAATCTGTCAAATTGCAATATTGTATATTAATTAGCAAATATTAATATCAGTTATACAATCTAATCGTAATGTAAAATCATCGTTCAAATACATTCTAATAGTAAGGCTAAAAATTATATTACTGGTCTTTTCAATATAAATCACCGTTAGATCAAAACCTGCTAACAACTTTACAATGCAAATCATCGACATCGTATGATTAGGCACAGTATTACAATGTCTCATCTAAAGATTATAAATCATTCCCTGATCTTGCTACGATTGCAAATAACAATAAATGTGTGAGTATTGATCGGATAATACCATTAGCAGAATGTATAATAGAGCTATGGATATATAAATTGCTATATATAATGTAACTCTAATAATATTATCTTAAAAATAATAATTCCAACAACAGCCAAGCCGTAAGGCTTACCTTAGCGTAGGCAGAGCATGTGTAACTGAGCTGCGCAGAAATATAGGGAGGAATACGTCATCGCCACACAAGTCTCTAATGACATCTAGTGAGCGTAACTCACGTTGCTTGCGAATTTTGGTTCAAGAAGTCTGCTTTGATATCGCAATGTCGGCCCGTCTGGTACTAATAATAACAAAAAGAATGG